GAGCTGCCGGGACAGGACAGGACTGAAAACTCCGGACGACAAACTGCGCTGGGCCAGAGAGTATAACTGCTTTTGGGAGGCTTCAATATAGAGCTTTTTTGACATTTTGGCATGGTGAAGCTCTGACACAAAATGCCGCTTTCTCATTCTCAACACGAAGCTCACCAGTCTGCGAGTGCGCTGCCTGAGCGCCAGTAGGCTCATAAATCTGTCGTCCCGTCTGTTATTCAGAAATGTCACTATCTCACGCCATGACGGCATGACTTTTCGCCGTCGTCCCCGCGGTTGCCTCCGCAATTGTCCCCGCGGTTGCCTCAGCGATTGTCTCGGCAGCTCGGCGCGCCGCGCTCGCCACACTCGACCACAGCGGCGCCGCAATTGTCGCTGTCCGCGCGGACATTGTGGCGTGCCCTCGCTGTCCGCAAGTGTCCGCAAATGTCACCGGTCGACCCGTGGAACGCGGCGCGAATGGAAAAACTCGCGGACAGGGTCGCGGTGGGGGGGGGGCGTGGGAGCGGGGAGGGATGGTGATCTACGCCGCCGCTCGGCACACCGCGGCACGATTCAGTGTGCATCTTCGCCCCCCCCCCCCCCTCTGCCCCCTCGGTGCGGCTCCGGTGTGTTGTGCGCCCAAACAGGGGCATTGTACGGCTGCAATCCCTGCACCGTGCACGTCGGCCTTGCCGCCGCCGCGGCTGCCTTGCAATGTCGGCCTGCAGTGCAGCGCTGCCGGAACGCCGTGTCGCCCGCGATGAGACGATCGGATCGGCGGCGGCCGGGGCCGAGACTGTTCACTGTTCAGGGTGGGGGGTCGAATGGTCGGATGGTCGACGGATGGTCGATGGTCGACGCCGGTGGTCGATAGCCGATTGATTTGTGTGGTCGATGTGTCGAACCCGGAAGAACTGTCCGCTGGTTAGATGATACGGTGATTGGAGAAGCAATCTTGGCGGTCAGGACATCTCTGATCAAAACTGGTGATACATCGGAACGCTATGAGGAAAATCTAACAGCTAAATGCCACCCCTACCTCGACACTCGATGCATCAATCACAGTTGGCTCTGTCGCCGCCCACATGTCCGTTTCATTTCATCGGCAGTCCGCCCCGCCACCGTGCGCCAATCACTTCATTGACGGCGAAATATTGCGGCGAGCTGACCCTTCCTGGGCGAGCGGGTGGGAACCTGGCCCCCGCCCCCGCCCCCGTCCCCGCCCCTGCCCCCGCCCTACTGCATTCTTGGGTAGGCGTCGACGCCTACCCAAGAGCGCAGCCGATCGGCTGCGCGCAGCAACCTGTCTCGGGGGACGGATTTGGGAGGGGAGGGGAGGGGCGGGGTGGAGCGCGACAGGATACGGCGGGCAGGTCAGGTCAGAAGGGACAGAACAGGATAGAGATTGAGAGGAGACGCCGCCTCTCTCTCTCTCTCTCTCTCTCTCTCTCTCTCTCTCTCTCTCTCTCTCTCTCTCTCTCTCTCTCTCTCTCTCTCCGATCGTGCCGGACAGCGGCGACATCAGCTCAGCTCTGGCGATCACTAACGGCGGATTAGGACGCCACCAAGGCTCATTATCCCATCTCTCAGGCCGGCGCCGGCGCCCCTGTCGATTGCCGTCTCTTTTCACACAGTTTCCCGGCTCGGGTAAATGCCAGTGGGGATTGTATGCGCGGTCGGGCCAACTGGCCGCGCTCTAATCCGTCCCCAGGATGGGCGGACACGAAAATATCGACAGCGCAGGTGACTGAGGCATTTCTGACGCGCCGCAGTTTCCTAATTGATCCGCGCTAATCTGACAGGCCCAGAAGGACTCACGGAGGGAAACGGGCCCGTGGGAGGTGCTATTGTGAACAGAGCGCGACCCAGAGATACGGGCCTTTTGAGGGATGATTGGCTTTACGGGCGCTTTTTATGGGTTTTGTGAGGGGATGTTGGTTTTGGTAATCCGTTAATTGGTAACGTAGTATTCGAGGGAAGGCGTCGTGCGCTTGGCATCTCCTCAATCGCTGGCCTTTCCATTTTTAATCGCGCTTACCACCGTGTCATAGATAATGCTATTTCGCGTATTTGCTACGTCACTTATTAGTGCTTACTTGTGGTTGTGTGTGATTGGCTCAGTTCGTATTTTGCACAGTGTATATAAATAGTATTTTGTAGCTCGAGTTCATCTGGAGCATCTCGTCTCGCAGTGCTGACGTCCTCCTCTCCTTCCGCAGCTGGTGGCACCTGATCTTCAACCTGCTGGTGCAGCTGGTGGTCGGCCTGCCGCTGGAGATGGTCCACGGCTCCTGCCGCGTGCTGACAGTCTACATGGCCGGCGTCCTGGCGGGCAGTCTGGGAACCTCTGTTTGCGACGCCGGCCGCCAGGTGTACCTGGTCGGCGCCTCCGGGGGAGTGTACGCCTTGCTGGCCGCTCATATCGCCAATGTGCTCCTGGTGAGTAAGGATTGATTTTGTTCATCTTTTGAAAACATTTCTGGAACCATACATTCAGCGTTTTACTCTCAATCGTACTCAAGATCACACGTAGCTCAGTACTGAACACCAAGATCTCTAATGGCCTCGAGCTTTGAAGAACGAAGTAGATTTCCCCTTTACTTCTTCGTTTGTTCTTACAAGCTTCAGTGGAACACGGAATGTTTTCGTCGTTATCCAAAGCATTTCTGGTGCGCTTGTAATGCTCACATTCTGATCCGACACTAGCGCCACCTAGTCTGAATGCTTCTCTTGCGTGACACTAACGCCACCTGTGCTCCGTTTCCAGAACTACCACAACATGGAGTTCGGCATCTTCCGCCTTCTGATCGTGTTTCTGATCGCGAGCTTTGACGTCGGTTTCGCCATCTACCACCGTTTCTCGCCGCTGCCGGCTGTGGAGCCGGCGGTCAGCTATGTGGCCCACCTGGCGGGCGCCGCGGCCGGCCTCACCCTGGGCCTGGTGGTGCTGAAAAACTTCCAGCAGAAGCTGCACGAGCAGCTGGTCTGGTGGCTGGCGCTGGGCACCTACCTGGCCTGCACCATGTTCGCCGTCATCTTCAACATCATGCACACGCCGCTGGATGAGCGGATCGTGTGAGGGGGCGTGGGGAGGGGCGGGGAGGGGAGTCGCTGTGATATGTGTATCGGCACTGGACGGGGGAGGGGAGGGGAGGGGCGACCAAGTCAGATCGGTTGTGATGTAAGGTGGCGAGCGCCGCGGAGGGAGGGGAGGGTGCGTCAGGTTCGTCCCGGCCGCCCCAGGTGCGCCAGAATCGGCAATATCTGAGCCGTGCCCATGTACCAAAGAGGAAACATTTGGGTCTGTGTTATTGTGTAGTAGACAATCCTTTAGGCACATTTCTGTATCGGTGTGAGCCCGGCGCGAGTGCTGAGGTGTGACGAGGAACAGGCGTGAATCTGTGTGACCGTTCAGTGTTCCGTGACGTCACGTTTATACGTGTGACGTCACTCTGCCGTCATACCGTCCACGACCCATTCCCGGCGCCGGCAGTGCAGTTCCCCAGGCGGCCGCCAGGGGCGCTGCCTGTCGCGCCCGCTGCATTTACGCCTCGGGCCGATAACTCGTGCGAGAGGTGGCGTCACCTATTCAGTGACGTCACCGTGTTTATGTATAACGTCATCTGCCAGTGCCCGTCCGCGTTGTTCCGTTTATTAACATTTTTGGTGGAGTTCTGCGCTCGCGCAATAGTTCCATCGCTTCCGTCTTGGAGGCCTTTTCTAGTCAGCACGAGGGCCCTGCGCAGAGGCTAGTCGCTCTTACTCAACCAATAAGCCTTACAGCGTCCGCCTCTGCGCGGGGTCCGGGTGTGCACACTGTATACCGGGCGCGACTGTATACTCGGTGTGTTGGGGGGGGGGGGGGCGGCCGCGGCCCCGCCGGGACCAGCTGACATATCGGGGCGGCGCGGGTCCCCCAGTGACGTCAGATGACGTCACTGGGGGCACGGCGGCCCGCGCACCTTCCAATGAGCGCGTGTACTAAGTGTGTGTTGATACTGATAATATATAGTGGATGCACTTATCAGGGCGTTTGGTGGAAACGACCAAGTAAAACTGGAGTAGTTAGTACCGGATTTAACAATCCATCACCGCAGACCGAAAGTACACATCAGGCTGTATTAGAACGGTTTTAGCTCACATTGGATAGCAATACATCACAAAATCCCATGTGCGATACGAATAAGCTCAGCGCCAGCAGAGCTACCATGATGCCCATTGCCCGGCAAAGCTCCCACGGAGCACCGAAACGCGCACACATCATCAGGGGCACAGAAACATAAACAGGGCGCGCTCCTCACCCAGAAATGTCTGTAAATGTCGTCAGAAATGGCCGGCATATGTGCACCCGGGTCACGGCACCAAAGCAAGGAATAACTGGTGTAAACAGCTTGTACACAGACAAATGTCGACATATTCCGCGACGGCTGGGGCAGACCGCGTGCCGTGCGGCGAACATGAACAAATACAGCACTTCACTTACACTACCTCGCAATGGCCCCGCGTGGGCTCAGATACTGTAACTGTTGAAACAAAGCGCAATACACAATATTTCCAGATTCTCCATGCTAGAACGAGTTGTGGCAGCAGATCTTGACCAATGTTTTAAGGTACTCCTGTAGCTAGCCTAAAGATAACAAGATTTGGAACAATGTGGATTAAAGGAAAAATTCCGATGGGCGAAGGAGATAGAGGCTAATTGTCAGCATCCAAAGAGGATAAACGTTGATATCTAGCAAACATCAATTCGAAGAAACACTGGTGTAATTCGCAACGTAACTGACGCTCGTTTCGATGCTCCCTGAACTTGCAGGCATAGTCCAACCAGACAGAAAAGAGTAAGCTATCGCGAACAAGGAGTTTTGTCAGGCATGTAATCCCAAGCGCAATTTACACCCCAGCTCGTGTGCAATGATCAAACAAAGAGACTCGGTACACATTTTCAAACTGCGGCTCCGAAACGTGACATAAAGTTTCAGAATGTGAATGAAACGTGGCATCCGTTTCAACTTGGCAGTACTAGAGCGAGAAAGTTAGTGCACTGATCTCACGCCAATTTCGTCTACAAAAGCAGACGCTGATCGAATAGAAAATGATCAGACTGCGGGCACGTCATGTGTTCAGTTGCACGCACCGCGGCCAAAATGAATCGTCTGAAGCAGTATTGAAAACAATGCGTATCTTGCACAGGTAACACAGCCAAAACGAAGCTCACGGCTCCAAGGCTAAGAATTCAAACTTATCAACGATTACCTCCTCCCAAAATAAGTCTTTAAGCCTAGTCCTAGAACAAATAATATTGAGAAACTTCCGATGGCTCCATACATCGACCAATATACGCTGTGTAAATCACGATAAACTGGTTCTGGACTACTCACCACAAGTCAGGTAAAGCAGTCTTTAGCCACAGGTCTCGAAGTCTGTTGCGTCCTCTCGTGAGACACCAGTCCTCTCACAGATCTCTCTCCTCACTGGCACGGTCACTGGTTCTCACTATTCACTGAAGTAATCACTAATCACCTTTCCCCGAGGCGTATCTCGCCTTTCCGCGCGCTCACCCCTCGCTGTCACAAAGAGTCTCCGGCAGCGGCCTCCCCTCCTCAGTCAGTTGCGCCAGCACAGTAGTCCCCGGGGGTCCCTCCAGCACCGGCTCCTCACTGACAGCCACACCCATAGCCCGCGCGTTCCGAGCCTCCCTAATGTGCCGCTCCGGCCGGTCCGCGTGGATCTTCATATGCGTCTTCAGGTGGTGCGACTGTCGAAACCCGCGCTGGCAGACGGTACACACGTACGGCTTCTCGCCAGAGTGGATCTTGGAGTGGTGGAACAGCTGGGTGCGCGTAGAGAAGCGCTTGCCGCACGTCTCGCAGGCGAACGGCCGCTCGCCGGTGTGGGTGCGGGAGTGGATCTGTAAGGTGACTTTGAGCGCGAATCCCTTCCCGCAGGTATCACACAGGAAGCGGCGACCGTCGGTGTGCGTTTTGACGTGTTTGGCCAGCGCCTTGTCGTCGATGAAGCCTTGGCCGCAGGTCTCGCACTTTGCCGGCCGCTGGTCGCCGTGCAGCAGCCGGTGGCGGCTCAGCCACATCTTGGTCTTGATGGTCTTCCCACAGATGTCGCAGATGTATCCCGGCTCGCCGGAGCGGTCGGCCCGACACTCGTGCTCCTCCAGCTGCGAGGCTTCCATGAAGGAACGCTTGCAGGCCTTGCAGCGGAAGGGTCTGGGCCGGCGGCCCGGCCCGCGGCCGGCCGGCCTGCCCTCCCGGTCGTGGGCTTTGAGGTGGTACTCGAGTATCCGCCGCTGGGGGAACTTCCAGCGACACCGCGGGCAGGGAAACTGACGCGCCTGCTCGTGGGCGTCCACGCTGTGTCGTACCAACGCGTCCAGCCGTGAGTAGGCGCGCTCACACACCTCGCAGGACAGCTGCGGGCGGTTCGAGTGGGTGCGCGCGTGTCGAGACAGGTTCCGCGCCGAGGCAAACCGCTGGCCGCACTCGGAGCACTCGTGGCTGTCGCCGTCACCCCCGCTGCCGCCGCCGTCACTGGGATCATCCTCTTCAGTGCCATCCTCCGCTCCGTCTTCGTAAGCCTCTTCCTCATCTGCGTGGTCATCACCTTCTTCAACTGCTTCAGCCTCCGTTTCGACTGTCACCTTTTCACCGTTGGTAGCGTTGCTGGGTTTCTCAGCGGCGAGTCGCCCTTCCCTGTCAGCAGTTTTCTGCACTGCTACGGCTGGGGGCGGTGCAGACACGTCTCCGCTCTCCTCCTCCACAAACACTACCTCTTCCTCTTCAGGTTCCTCAGACGGCTCCCGCCCCCGCCTCAGCCCGGCGTTCCGGGTCCGGGCGGCCGGCGGAGTGGCCTCCGGCGGCCGCCGCTGCGCCTCGCCGGTACAGATGTGCCGCTCCAGCTGGCACTGCTGCGCAAACGCGTCGTAACACCCCGTGCACCGGTAGAAGCCCGTGCGCGGGTGCGGCGCGAAGTGTTCGCGCAGCTCGCGCGCTCGGAACCGCTCGCCGCAGCTGCCGCAGCGGGTCGGCTCGCGGCCTCTCCGCTGGGGCAGGAGGCGGGTCGGAGTGGCCGGACTGGCGGCGGTCTGTGCAGCCCTCCGGCGGGTGGCCGGGGCGCCGTCCTGCCGCGCGGCGCGGTGCCGCCGCTCGTGGCGCGCCCGGTCCAGCGGGGCGGCCAGCAGCCGGCCGCAGCGGGAGCACGGCTCGGCCGGCGCGCCGCCGTGCTCGCGGCAGTGGACCGCCAGCGAGATCCGGTCGCTGAACCGGGTCCGACAGGCGTCACAGTCGAACGGCAGCGGCGGCGGCGCCGCGGCGGCCGCGGCCGGCGGCGCCGACCGCCTGCCGGCCGCCTCAGCGCCGGCGGCGGGCAGTGAGGAGATCACCGACACGCGGGAGGCCCGGGAGACGCCGCCGCCGCGGCCCCTGCGCGGCCACTTCTCCGTGACGAGCCGCTGGACCGGCTGGACCTCCTGCGGCACCCTCCTCGGGGCGACTCCGGACGCCTTCCGGCGAGCCGAGCCGGTCGGAGTCACCACCGCCGTGACGTCACAGACGGCCGGGGACTCAGAGGCGGCCGACTCGCCCGCCGGCCGCATCCAGGCCACCGAGTCAGACACCAGAACATGGACTGTTCGGCCGGCGGCGGCGGCGTCCGGGGCCGGCGGGGCGCCGTCAGACGCCTCAGTGGTGTCCATCGGCTGCGGAGCCGCCTCTGTTTGCTCATGCTCTAACAGCTGCTGCTGCGATGTCTTACTCTCCTGTTCTGACAGCAGCTCCTGTTGTTCCTGCTTCACGTCCTCTTCCTCTGGCGGCGGAGGCGGAGGAGTCAATGGTGATGCCACTGGCGGTGATGGCGATGCTGATGGAAGGTCACCACCCTCAAGGCCTGCACTGGTCATCTCTGCTGACTTCCGATCTGTCATCACTTGGTCACAGTGAGCCACTGTTGTGACGCCATCACACTCTGATACTTCCACTGTGTCAGGATCTGGCTTAATCAGCTCAACCACCACTGTATTCTCGGCCTCCAGGGTTCCCAACCCTACACACTCAGCTTCTGCAGGGCTCTCTTCTGACTGAACCTCAACCACGGCCATGGGCTCCACTCTGACGGCTGGGTCACCATTGGTGGCACTGGGACTGCTGGCAGTAGCGTCCAGGGTGGCCATGATTAATGATCAATAGGAAAAGAAAGTAGAAGCAGTAAGTGAGATATGAGCAGGAAGTCAGCATTCACAGCTCATCATTACTTCCAGTCCAGGCAGAACATTGAGAAGATCAGTTTTATCTGGACGCAGCAAAAAGTCTGAAACAAATTGTCAGCTCTGTCAATAAAGTATACTCAAGGTTGATATGAATTATTAAACGTTAGGGTCGGAAACACGGAGGTCCCCAAGCGTTTTCGTTTTAATTATATGAATCCAATTAGTATCACAACATGCTATAATCCAACTATCTAACATTCCCTGCCAGTAAAATGCAACAGCTTACCATTTAAAGCTGGCAAAATTGACCCCAAAACACCACATACCTCACCCCTCGCAACCGACGCTGACGCCATGCTGGTTACGGCGGATGAACACAATTTATAAACAATCAAGGCTGCAAAAATATCAGATGCGTTTCGCGTGCACAATTTTTTATCGCAGCCAGAAATGACAAACAATACCAAGGTTCTCAAATTGTTATGTCTAAAGCGCGGACAACTTTAAATTTGAGAAAAGCGATTATTACTCGATGAAATTCAAAGAGGTGTCCTAACCTAACCTAACCTAACCTAACCTAACCTAACCTAACCTACTGATTTTTGCCTACCGAGCTTAGAAACCTAACCTAACCTACTGATTTTGCCTACCAGGCATAAAGAAACCTAACCTAACCTAACCTAACCTAACCTACTGATTCTTGCCTACCGGGAATCCTAACCTAACCTAACCTAACCTAACCTAACCTAACCTAACCTACTGATTTTTGCCTACCAGGCATTAAGAAACCTAACCTAACCTAACCTAACCTAACCTAACCTACTGATTCTTGCCTACCGGGAATCCTAACCTAACCTAACCTAACCTAACCTAACCTAACCTAACCTACTGATTTTTGCCTACCAGGCATTAAGAAACCTAACCTAACCTAACCTAACCTAACCTAACCTACTGATTCTTGCCTACCGGGAATCCTAACCTAACCTAACCTAACCTAACCTAACCTACTGATTTTTGCCTACCGGATAAGGAAATAGTTACTTGCAGGAATAGATTGCAGGCAATAGTAAATCAAATATTTTCAGGTTAAGTGGTCATGCATCAGGCTTCAGGCCTTCGGCCTGAAGCCAGATACATAACCATTTAACCTAAAAATATTTGATTTACTATTGCCTGTAATCTCTCCTAAGGCATTGCCTTCGGCACTGCACTGCTTCGCCACGAGTTGGCCACAGACGAAAACATGTACAGTACAGGCGAAGAAATGTTGGACGAAGAATGAAAATATGTACAGACAAAAAAATGCACGGACCAAAAAACGAAAATAAAGAAAATGCACGAACGAAAATATTTACGAACGAAACATTTCTGAAGACTTTTTCAGAAAAGTCGCTATCATTCGTCGACAGATCTGGCGCATCTCGTGAGGCGCTTTACCGAAAAAGAAAATTACCGAATTCTCTTCTATTAAAAATTAAAAATACAGAACCGTAATTCCAAAATTATTTGTGTATATCTATCACTTTTTCATAAAAATAGTTCCCCCCCCCCCCCCACCCAAAACCCCGGTTTCCCACAGTTCCCCTAGTGTGTTGGGTTTTATGAAGATACTACATTTCTGCGTAATGGTATTTAACAACAATTGACAAATGTTGACAACAGACCGTCGTGCGGCTCCACCGAGATCGTGGTAAGAATACGATTAGTTAGCTTTTGGTCTTAAAATTATCGATCAGATAACTGGAAACCACATTATTCTTACTAAACATGAGTTTCTCTATAGAATGATGTCTATATTATAGGGATTAACTAATTTTGAAGCGGGGACCTCCATGTGTACCGCCAACGTTACAACAAAAAAACATTTAGAACTCAAAAAAGGGTAAAATAAAATGCATGTTAAATGTCAAATAAGAAAAGCAGACCGCATATATCCGTGTTGCATTATCAGACCCATCAATCGTCCGCAAAAGCAAGGCCGTATATGTATAGGCAAAAGGATAGCTATGAACAACAGCACAGTGGTTTTACAATGCACAAAATGATAAAAATTTATCTTTGCATGTGTTACCTACGCTGTATGCAAGGCTGCTGTATGTAGTCACCTTATGACCTTACCATGGATGAAGTATTCCTGGATAGGACACTCCCTATTCCCCAACACTAGCGCCGGCGACCAAGCGGCCGCCCTGGTGGCGGAGCTCCGAAACATCGGCGGCGAGTGCGCCGGCGGCCGCCGCACCGGCTTGCGTGCTAAAAACGCGGTAATGGAGGGCGAAATTAGCGAACTTTAGCTCATAAGACACCATTTCAGACACTTTAAACATAATTTTTAGTCCTTTCTCATAATTATTATGGCTCCATTTAGTCACTATCGCATACGGAATCATTACCTGATGCCCATAAACTGAGCCGGTATTCTTGATTTGCCGATGCAATTTATCATCAAATATCATCGTTCCTCGGCAGTCAAACAAGTTCTTATTGATGATTTAATACAATATCAACTTATTTTCATGATATCGCATAAAACTTAACTTTATTCCAACATTGGCTCTTCGGCTGTAATCACGAACCCTCATTTGTCAGCAGAATTTAAGCAACTTCTTAAATCAAAACTGGGAAAAGAATATTTCCATGACATTCCTCGATTCCTGTTCTACCTGGTTCACAAAAATTTTCATGAAAATCGGTTATAAGTAAGTAATAAACGACAAAAGTATACAAAAAGACACGCTCCGCCCATAGCCCGCAATGCTAAAATGACGCCAGCGCCCTCGCCGTCGCGAAATCCGCCGCCGCCGCCGGGTGGTCGGAAAATCGGCGGAGTGTCCGATCCAGGAATACCTAATCCATGACCTTACTGTCACTTGCAACCCGAATAATATTTTTGTTTTCTAGCACGTCTAGGGCGAAAGTTGCGCGACTGATACAAATGTGCTGAGAAATACGGGAACACCGCAGCTAATTGAAACTATACTCACAAAATAACAAACAGCCAGTCTATCTGACATAAGAATCGCAATATTTGCACATGTCAATTGATTCCTGAACAAATGACTGCTACAAAACATGTCTTGAGCCGATAGATCAATAATTATTACTTTTAATTCGCTATTCAATGTCAAAATTTTATGGCAATGCTACCCAACTCACCTAGTCACTTCCAGCCGCACGAGTGCAGTGTAGTGTCGAAAAACAAACCGACCATTACCTAGTCAGTCAGTCGCTGCCTTACACAGCACAATGAGTTGCGACATCCGAGCCTCCATATTGTCTCACAAACTGAAGGCAATATTCTCGGCGACCTTTTCAGTTATGGCTGCAGCCTGCAGATAGCACGGATCAACGTTTTCTTCATGCGACGTGTTCCATGGGCCCACGTTACGCCACCAGCAGAGGTCACAGCTTTTTCAAGGCAGCCTTTTCTCCCGCTCAAACTCACAACGAAATGTAGTTATTTATTTCTAAATGGTGACTTGATACACCGCGCGCGAAGCTGCTTGTTAAAATGGAAAAGGACAGACATGCGGAAGATAATACTAGAACTAAGCATAAAGAATCCATTCACAGCTAAAACAAGAAGCTGCTCCTACATTAGCAGATAGAATTTACCTTAAAATAGCGTAAAACGCTACGCATAGCACTCAGCCGCTGACTGGACAAACGACCACGTTCTGATTACAATAAGCCACTAATCCACCGTTACACGAAATCGTTAATTTTCCGTCTATCTCCTACTTTAGGTTGTTTTAACATAACACATTCATACTTCAGGTCTGTTACGGAAGGCACCCTGTACAAAACAGCCATCGCACTAGGCAGCCGTCCGCGCGCCCACGCCGTCCCCTTGCTCGTTCACATCACACACACTGGCCAGCGGACATCAGCTGACGTGGGTGACGTCACAAACCTCTGGTGACGTCAGCTCGGCACTCTGCCGTACACCAACGGAGAGTCTAGGAAGGCAACAGTTGACCTTCTCGTACTGCAGCTCGGCGAGGTGGCTGAGACAACACCGCGCTCACCCCACCAAATCCTGATCTCTTCACGTATCCCCCCAAACAATCACACCCATCCACAGATCACCTCCCCCCCCCCCCCCTCCGCAAACGCGCTAACCCCTCAACAATCACACTCATCCCCCCCTCCCCACCCCGTCCCCTCACCAGCGGGGCTCCGGACCGACCCGTCCGTCACCCGGGGAGTTTATGGCAATGCTACCCAACTCACCTAGTCACTTCCAGCCGCACGAGTGCAGTGTCGAAAAACAAACCGACCATTACCTAGTCAGTCAGTCGCTGCCTTACACAGCACAATGAGTTGCGACATCCGAGCCTCCATATTGTCTCACAAACTGAAGGCAATATTCTCGGCGACCTTTTCAGTTATGGCTGCAGCCTGCAGATAGCACGGATCAACGTTTTCTTCATGCGACGTGTTCCATGGGCCCACGTTACGCCACCAGCAGAGGTCACAGCTTTTTCAAGGCAGCCTTTTCTCCCGCTCAAACTCACAACGAAATGTAGTTATTTATTTCTAAATGGTGACTTGATACACCGCGCGCGAAGCTGCTTGTTAAAATGGAAAAGGACAGACATGCGGAAGATAATACTAGAACTAAGCATAAAGAATCCATTCACAGCTAAAACAAGAAGCTGCTCCTACATTAGCAGATAGAATTTACCTTAAAATAGCGTAAAACGCTACGCATAGCACTCAGCCGCTGACTGGACAAACGACCACGTTCTGATTACAATAAGCCACTAATCCACCGTTACACGAAATCGTTAATTTTCCGTCTATCTCCTACTTTAGGTTGTTTTAACATAACACATTCATACTTCAGGTCTGTTACGGAAGGCACCCTGTACAAAACAGCCATCGCACTAGGCAGCCGTCCGCGCGCCCACGCCGTCCCCTTGCTCGTTCACATCACACACACTGGCCAGCGGACATCAGCTGACGTGGGTGACGTCACAAACCTCTGGTGACGTCAGCTCGGCACTCTGCCGTACACCAACGGAGAGTCTAGGAAGGCAACAGTTGACCTTCTCGTACTGCAGCTCGGCGAGGTGGCTGAGACAACACCGCGCTCACCCCACCAAATCCTGATCTCTTCACGTATCCCCCCAAACAATCACACCCATCCACAGATCACCTCCCCCCCCCCCTCCGCAAACGCGCTAACCCCTCAACAATCACACTCATCCCCCCCTCCCCACCCCGTCCCCTCACCAGCGGGGCTCCGGACCGACCCGTCCGTCACCCGGGGAGCCAAGCCGTAACGTCTGTCCCTCGGAGCCGCCGCCGAGTCCGCGGCGCGGCGCCGTACCGCTCTGAGCGAACGGTGCTCCAGTCCGCCTCCGGCAGCCGCTCAGAAGAGCGCCGGCAGGCCGAGCCGGCTGCGGCGCCGCGGGGTCAGAGCTGGCCGCGCCGCCGAGCGGGCCGGCGACTTGGCGGCCACACCTCCGGCCGTTCGCGGCGTGCGGGGCGTGCGAGCGCCGGCGGCGGCGGCCGGGGCGACCGGTGCCGGCGGCAGGCCGCCCAGACGCTGCGAGCGGCGTCGACTGCGGGTGGAGGCGCGCACGGCCGGCGACGTGTCAGCGGCCGCCGCCTGCAGTCGGCGCAGGCCGCGCGTGAACTCGGCGTACGACATGTCCGACGACAGACTGACGTTGCGCGCGCTCAGCTTTCCGGGAGCCGTGCGCGCCATGGCCACGTCCCTGTGGGGGCAGACGCGGGGGCGGGGGTTAGAGGGGAGCGGCTTATGGGGGATAATGGGGACTTGTAAGGGTGAAGTGACATAAGACAGAGTCCGCGGCGCGGCGCCGTACCACTAAGAGCGAACGGTGCTCCAGTCCGCCGCCTGCAGCCGCTCAGAACAGCGCCGGCAGTCCGAGCCGGCTGCGGCGGTGCCGATACGAGCGGTTACACCGACGAAGAACGAGTGAGTTACTTAAGAAGCGCGGACGTCATTTTGAGCTAGGGCATTTATTTTGGTAAGGCAGACTTAGTTATTGAGTGATATGTCTTTAAGTCAGCACAGCATCAATTCACATTTTGCGTACAGCCAATGCATACTCGTTCTTTCTCAACTAAGGACACCTAGAACGAATTTCATTCATAACCATCAGAAATATCCATCTAAAACCCAAAAAGTGAAAGTTCCATCGGGCCATGCGGCATGACTTGATCATCAAAAGATACAGAACACAGAAGTTCTTTTATGCCAAGTCAAACATGCAAGCTACGAGTACAAATATATCACCAAACAGAAAGAACATCGATGGTTCTGAAAAGAATATAGCGGAAACGTAGAAATCACGTCTGATTGATATCTACCGCCGCATTCATCAAAGCCCATTTTGCCTTGACGAGGGGTGGGCACCGAGACTACTTTGTACTACACAAATGCACTATTGAAAAACAACCACACTCAGCCAATAAAACGACTAGGAAGGTTTGACTATTTTTGCTAGCGAAAATACCGCGCAACCAAACCACTGAAACTATGTTTGGTACTGTCGACGTTCATGAGTCGAGAAGATCCTGATTAGTTCTTGCGACAAAAAGAAACTAATAAGAGAGATGAAAAGAATATTGAAAAGCAGCCGCCTCTGAAGCCAGGCCCGCTTACCAGCTAACCGCTCAGCGGCTGCAAATAAAAGACAATCGTGTGTTACTTAATTGCCTCAAACGTCAAAACTAGAGCAAAAGAAGCATGAACAACGAACAAATAGACACCAGTAGAACATTATAAACATCAACGATCTTACGTCGTTAGTGCTCAAAAGGCTTTGGTAAACATGGCTGCAGCAGCACATCACCACTGGAGAGAAAAGTTCGCTTAAAGGACTCTAATCTAACGCTCGTACGCATACGATGGAAGAATATTGAAAAAGTATAGGTTGGTAGCTAAGAGTCTTCTTCCATTATTCCAAACATAATGCTCAGTATCGAAAGTGACAGAAGAAGTACAGGCATCGGAAGAAAGATCGTAGATTTTCCGGACTCCGGTCGGAGCTCAGAACGCACGTAAATCAACCAAGGTATATACCTGTCGGCTGTCGCGATACCAAGATACTCGCGATGCACTGGTTATGTGAGTGCTAAAATATAGTGCTAAGTTAGGTATATGTTGGGTTGGGTTAGGACAAGCTGTGTTAGTGCTAGTCTCCTTGCAGAAATGTGTGAGCGCGTCAGTTAAGTCACTCCAGGCAGCGGATGTAAGTGCAGTTGTACATTTACAGCAGCATAGTCATGCAGAGCAGCTCGTTATACTAGTTGCATCAAAGTCTGTGGATTTACAGCTGCAGTGCGTCCTGTGGAATGTACATCTGTACAACTCCGGCCGCGAAGGAGTCCCAGCCAGCGCGGGTTACAGGCAGACAGTCAGTGTGCCTTGGCTAGGACCAGGGCACACTGACTGCCGGGCGGAACTGGTTAGGTACAACGTGCTGTGCGAGTCGCTTAGCCATGGAAGCAGGTAGGTATGTAAGCGCGCCCCTCGGGCCGCTTACCTCCACCGGGCCGACCAAGCGGCGGACAGGGGACGGGCGGACGGACACTCACTTGGAGCGGAGCACGCGGCGATCCTGGATGGGAGTCAACGGCAGCCTGCAGGAGACGGTATAACGGAGAGTGAGGGAGAGAGAGAGAGAGAGAGAGAGAGAGAGAGAGAGAGAGAGAGAGAGAGAGAGAGAGAGAGAGAGAGAGAGAGAGAGAGAGAGAGAGACGGCGTCGCGTCAGACAGAGGCGGAGGGAAGGAAGGGAGGGGAGGGATGGAGGGAGGAGGGAAGTGGAGGGGGAATGAAGGAAGGGATGGAGGGATTGCCGTAGGACGGAGGAATGAGTTTTGGGTAGAGGAAGAATGGAGTAGGGAGGAAGAGACACAGACAAGTAAATGAAAGAAAAGATGTGGGATGGGATGTAGAATGGACAAGGGATGATATTGCGAGACGAAGATGGTGAAAGTAGGAGAATACATATGTTGTAAAGTTGATGTGGAAAAGGTCTAAGTGGACTTTAATGGGTGTGTGACGTACATAGACTGTACCGAAGACGGTGTCCGTGGGACGATGGACGTTGAACGCACTAACTAACTAACCACTACACATACTTCTACATCGTGAATGGTGATCGTGTGGGCGGTATTGGAGGACGCGACTGGAAAGTGGAAACACAAGAGAACTTGTTCGGCGGAGGCAGGAACAGTGATCACTGAGAAGGACTGATGTAGGCATGCTTCAGACGAAGATGGAAACGTTGTGATGTGTGTCGATGGGGCGGGGCAAAAAGTTGTACGTGCACTCAACACCACAGCACCAATTTAACGTCGATAGATGTATAAGTGTAGCTCGGTACAAAACCGTAAACAACCGGCTGATTTAATGACCGGAGATAGCCGCATTTGAGCCATGTCAATAAGTAATATTTGGATAATCTCAATTTCTAATGTTTAAATAAATACTCTGATATAAACCCAAAATTGATATGATTATACGGAAACAAATAGTGTTCGCTGCCTGTAGAGAAACATCTGTGGCACTTTCGTATGATGTACCCCTGACACAATTTGAAACGGATTAGCCCAAAGACAGAACTTTGTTCCAAGCCGATAACTTCATCACTTTTGAGTTAACTTCTCCCCGTACGTAGTGAGAGTCAGGCCATTTGGTACGCATTCACTTGGCATGCACTAAAAGTCTAAATACGAGCTCATTCCCGACACACTAGTCTACCTCTTCAAGACAGGCAGGTTGTCAAACTACGAATATACCACTACACCAACTACATTCTACAAAAAACACCCTTCCCACTTCCAAACCCTTAAAAACTCGGCCGCCGCCGGGATTCGACCCCACACTGACCTGTTGATGGAGGCCGGGTTGAAGAGCGAGAGCGGCGTGCGGGCGCTGCGGCCCAGGCCGGGCGAGGCGGCGCGCAGCTGAGAGCCCAGGCGGGTCGACTCCAGCCGCCGGTGTTTGGAGGGTGAGCCGCGCTCAGTGGCGCCGCCCGCCCGACGCTTGGCAGGCGTCACGGGACGCGCGCCGAACATGGTCTCCTGAGGGGGAGAGGGGCGAGAGATGTGTAAGTAAAGGTGAGCAAATTTATCTGAGTTACGCTATGTTGCTAAGAAACGCCCGAGCTACGCTAAGCTAAATATGAGGGCATACCCAATAGGTATATATTTGACGCCAACATAAGCATAAAATATGTTTCATCCATTTTTCAATCCTAAATGTCTTTCGTAAATCTATCCTTCGTAACGACTCTACATAAGTTTAACAATCAACAAAATATATCCACACAAATTACACTGCCTGCCGTGCACATAACAGCACCACCCAATTACAACACACCCCACCACATCCCTGCCTTTACTCCTAATCCTCGCATCACAAACAACCCCTTCCCCCCCCCCCCCCACTGATCCCGCGCGGGCAGGTTCGCGGGTTCGCGCCACTCACGTGCTCCAGCTGGTGGGCCTTCTTGTTAGCGCGCTCCTCACGCTCCTGCTCCTTGCGCTCGTTGTACTCCTTTTTCTGTTGTTCGATATAGGCAGCGAAATCGTACCCAAACACCCGGAATGTGGCGTTGTGCTGCGACTCCCACCTGCAGCAGAGGAGAAGACACGGAGACACGGATGGTCAGGGAAGGAGACTGAGCGGGGAGGGGTAACTCGGAAACAAAATCGCATACAAAGTTACTTCAACAAGCATCGATACAAAATACATTCGCCGCCGTTTTCACGCGGAGGAGAAAATATCAGTTATTTAGCATTGGGGGAAAATTATCTCAACAACTATACCACGGCCGGTACCTATTGAAAAGTGATGAGCATTGAGCAATCATTAATTATTGTAGATTTCCTGAATGCAGACACCTTAGCACAGTTGAGTCAAGAGTCGAGATAAATGGAACAGAAATCATCTGCATTCAATAACAGATAGCCACTCCAACACGACGACAATATATATTTTACACCAACAAGGAAAAATGTTATGCAATGCATTATTTATTGCTCATAATTATGACAACCATGAAAAAGGTAGCTACTGCTGATTACCGACAGCAATGAGCCCAAATGTTTAAGTGACTATCACCCATCCAGTGTCTCGGCCAGCGCCGCCCGTCCCGCACCTCGGACTCACCTCTGGATCAGCTGCTGGAGGTCGCCCCCCCCCCGGACTTACCTCTGGATCAGCTGCTGGAGGTCGCCCCCCCCCGGACTTACCTCTGGATCAGCTGCTGGAGGTCGCCCCCCCCCCCCGGACTTACCTCTGGATCAGCTGCTGGAGGTCCCCCCCCCACCCCCGCCCCGACCCCGGCTCCTGGGACTCACCTCTGGATCAGCTGCTGGAGATCCCCCCGGACTCACCTCTGGATCAGCTGCTGGAGGTCGCTCTCCACTTTGGGCAGGCGGCGCGCGATCTTCTTTCGCTCCTTCTCCTCCAGCAGGAGCTGCCCGCCGCGGTTGGAGAATCTGACGCACAGAAACGTAAGCAGGACGTACTTAGCAGAATATATGGCGTGATCGTCGATCAGCGACGGTTCTTAGTGGAAAACGGAAACCGCGGTCCGCGAGACCGTTCCAGCGGAGGAGGCGAAAACATTACGAATGAAACCCTAATGCCCTGCATGGCATAATGGCACGATATCAATCTTTTGCGACTGTCTCAAATATCAATAGATGTTCCTGTTCGCATCACCAGTCGCCATTCGGTGCACAAGACAAATTAGAGAACTCAGCGATAATAGGCAGAGACGACCTAACAACAGGAATGATCACGGCACCAACATCATAACTTTCCAACGGCTCTTCATGTGCCTCGAATAATCCCACGACTGAAAGCCCTCCGCATCTTACTGCACACGTGTTTTCCATTCATCCTAAATCCCCGGATCTGTCGAGGTACATTTACTCCTATCCTTCACCCACTTTCCCTTCCCGTCACTGCCGCCGTTACCTGGCCGGGTCGTTGACGCGGTCCTCGAGCTCGATCATCTTGGTCCACAGCTTCTGGTGGTCGTTGACGTCCTTGATGAGTACGCGGTTCGTCTCGTAGTAGCGCCGGACCCGCTCCAGCTCCTCCTCATGCTCCTCCAGCAGCTGCTCGGTGAAACTGCGCGAACAGAGACAGCGGGGTGATGCCTTTTCCTAGCCGAGTATATCGGGAACTAGATTAGTGATGCAGTGATCGCGCGGAAGCTTCTCGGTAAAACTGCGCAACAGAGAGGCTGCCGGGGTGGTATTGTAGAGGTGTGCCTTTTGTTCCTCGCTGAGCGCTTACGCCAATTACCTAATTGGGATAGATAGCGCAAGCGCTGCAGGTTCACACGCCAACGTACTGACTCGATATCTTCAGTCAACTCGCAAACACAAACCGCAGCGCTAAAAATAAATGTCAAGTCAGAAGTCAGTCAAGTCAGTCAAGTTGGTCGGTAGGTCGGTCGGACGCCAGCACACCCGTCCATTCATCCCCCTCCCCCTCCGCCCGCCCGCCGGACTCACGTGGTGCTGTGGTACCCGTCGAACGCTGCCCGCTGCTCCGCTGAGTAGAAACACTTTTCCCACATCTCCGCTATCTCGACCCGCAGCGCGCGCACAAACTTCTCTACGTTCTGTCGCTTCAGCTCCTCCTGCTTGTTCACTTCCTCTCTCAGCAGGTGGAGCGTGCTCGGCTTGTGACCCGTGCATGAGGCGAGCACGCTGGCGCGCCGGTCCTCCGGAACCTCGGAGACGACGGGGCACAGAACGGGTGGATTAGGTGCATTCCTTACCTAGTGAGGCTGGGAGCATGTGTGGAGCTAGGAGAGTTACATGAAGACATACCGAGTCTGGTGAAATTCACGACTATAATATGTGACACTACCACCGGAACAGCCAGACTTGGTTGACAGCCAGTCGACTTCGTTCCAGGTTCGTTGGATGGAGACATAAAATGCCTATAAATCATTCCAAATCGCAAATCACATAATCAAAATAAAATTTAAGATTTAAGCTTCAGGTATCCCCGGCGGCCCAAACCGGCCCTATAACCGCCAATATCCCCCTCTCTCAGCCCTCCCTCTATCTGTCTCTCACCTCCAGCCTGGCCCACAGCTGTCCGAGCCGGGCGCGCAGTTTCTCCGCCTCCGCCTTGTTGGCGGCCTCCTCCGCCTGCAGCGCCAGCAGGCGGCGCTCCATGGCCTCCAGGTTATCGGTGGTGAGCGGCAGACGGCAGTCGTCCGCCTCCCACACCACCTGGGTCTCCAGCTCGCCGTCCGCACACCGCTCCAGCGCCTCCAGCAGCGGGAACAGACGCTGACGCAGACGCTCGAACGTCGCCTGGCGCTCCTGGCGCGTGGCCCGCATGTGCGCCAGGTGCTCCCGCATCTCGCGGAAGTCGGCGTCTTGCGGGACCTCGGCGGCCAGGGTGAGTGTGGGGATACCGAGCTGAGAGCACAGCACCGCCTCCTCGTCCTGCGGGACAGAGATAGCGGGGGCGGTTAGGGATTGAGGGTCGGAGAATGGTTGTACACGGGTCTGGTTGGAGGCAACTGGAAGGAAAGCAGCCAGCTTTGAAATTCATAGAACGGCACAGACAATTATACGCTAGATTATCATGTGTCGCAGCATTTTAGATCGATCTCAGTCAACTTATCCGAACTTTTGGGAATGGTTGGTATTATCATCATTTATTTTCACCGTAATAATTACCCGACGAGCATAAATCACAAAAGTACGATTTAATCTGAAACTTTTTATAACAGCGAGGACAATACTGAGAACGTGACCAACCATTTCGCCAAAGGAAGTAAATACTGTATTCATTTTAGCCGACTGTCTGCCGTCCAGCCCAACCTCCCCCGTTCGCGCCCGCCAGTGAGGCCTCCCGCTCTCTCGCCGTCTGGACTCACCCGGAGCGTCTGCATCTGTGCGGTGATTTTCTCCTTTTCCAGCTGCAGCTGCTGCAGCCGCTCGCGCAGCAGCCTGTCCAGCTGCAGCAGGCTGAGGTTTTCGTCCGGCTCGTCCACCACACGGCCCAGCAGTGAGGCCAGCTTCAGCAGCTGCCGGCCGTTCTCCTCGATACTGTCCGTGAGGTGACGCACGCGCCGCTTCTCCTCCTCCACCTCCTGCCAGCGGGGCGGGGGGGGGGGGGGACAGAATACAGTCAGCGGGGGTGGGGCGGGCGCAGAGCGCGGTCAGAGGAAGCGGGCACACAGCAGTCCGCAGGGGCAGGGTGCAGAGCACTCAGCGAGGGCAGGGCAGAGCGCAGTTATGAATGGCCGGGGAATAAGCCGTGCATCGTTGATACTACACCGTCTGGTCTGAATATGATCTATTTAACTGAAATCAGAGTGAATGCAAGGCAGTTTCAGAAATCAGCATAGTAACTAGCAAGCAGGTACCTACCAAACAAAGCAAATGTACAAGCAATGCATACAAAAAAACATACAAAAAAAAAACATTAAAAACACTGCCTCCAAGAACCATTCTACCTTTCATATGTTGAAGGGAGGGTGATTTAAATCAATCTGAAATCATGAATTGGAACAGGTTATGGCACAGAGATAAGGAAAGCAAGATACCAGAAGCACAGAGGGCTGTTCACGGACCCAGTGTGCGGTCGGACCGCACACAGCCTCCAAGCTCCGCCCACTGCGTCCCTACGTCAGCCTTGCGTCACCGCACACAGCGACCGCTGTGGCCGGTCGGGACTGGCCACAGCGGACCGTCCACCGCACGCAGCCGTGACGTCAGAGCCGCCTACCCATCCCCTACCCCAACGCCTGCTGGACGTACCGCACACACCGCACGCAGCAGTGTGCGGTGCCCGTGAACACCCCTCTGGACAAGATAGCTTTTATGCCAACTGGTAGGGAACTTCTTCAGTATAGATCATGGCAGAGTTGTGCCATTTCACCCTTACCTCCTGCATGGTGGTGACAACATGTCCCCAGATGTTCCCCAGACGCCCCTCCCAGTCTGTCTCAGGGACTCCTATCTCCTCGAACAGCTCCAGCAGCTGCTTGTAGTAGGCATCCAGTCGGACGCCAGCCACAGACTTTTGGCGCTGTATCGCCTCCGTGATCGCAGCAGGAGGCGTCATCGTGCAGCCGGCAGGACAGGCTGGAGGCCGATAGTCTGTCGAACAACCAGACTCAGAAAGTTAAAAAACAGCTTGTCTCAGGGTCATAACTTGAACTTGCTGAAGAGAAATATCAATGATGTAGACTTGGTAACAGTTTGTAACAATAAGAACCAGTCTATTTTAATTGCTAGTTCACATAGAAAATGCATAATATTGCCTTCAACTATTTAAACAAATTTGAAATTAGATTACTTACACTAAGGCAAAGGCAAATCAAAATGCATCGACAGTTAGCAACATAATGTCGCTGACATTGACACTGACACTCTTTCACTTTCAATTATAAGTTAGCTCTCACTTTCATATGCTTGAATTTTTATTTGAAAACTAGTGGTCATGAAAAACATGCAGAGGATTGCTGGTGCTAATGCGTCGTCATGATTCGACGTCCACCGGTTCACTTTGACTTACCTTTGCTGATTTAACTCAGACAAAACACCGATTATGAGTTAGGTACTTGAGAATGTTATATCTAAATCTTTTTCTAAACGCTTAGTTGCATAAGATCAGCACTCGCAGATCATTATCAATATAGTAGTCTGTAGTAACAGCACACCCTTCCTAACATTTGTCGCCATTCGATCCATTCGATTTCAAATCTTTCAAACCGTGCGCTTCGGGCGGGGATAGAGGTGGGCTGACGTCGTAAAAATCAATTTTCGATAGCTTTTTCAACTCTTTCTCCTCGATAAATTAAAAATTTTAGTTTATTATAATCCGTCATTGACTTCAAGCCTATTTTTTAAAGTATTGGAGCAAATTTGCATAAGGCTTGAAACTCAAAGTGGCAGATTTTCATCTCTATCTAAGCGAGACGATTATGAACGCCGTGATAAATATATGAATGTAAACAAATATAACGGCAAAACACGACTCTTCTCGGAGATGATCCAGCACTAACTGATCTAGTACTTGATTTTGTCTTAAACTCACCTTATTCCGACAAACTGTAAAGTAAGCACCATTACTTGGCCTTAGGCATACCGCATTACAAGGAATAGGTATATAGTCGCCGAACGAATGCGAAAAGCGTTTTTTTCATCCTTCTCGCTATCATCGCAAGGAACTGTCCACATACTCTGGGGTTGTCCCTTCACCCACTGCACAACGACGAGCAGCGGCCAAGGATTCTTCAGTCACGGACCCGGCCGCTGAACAGCGGCAGCGGCCGGGTTTGGGCGACCACAGGCCCGGGTACAACAATCGGCCCTCAACAGCGGCAGCGACATATCCTTTCCTATCATCCAACTTTTATCGTAACATCGTAACCCTACCAATTACCATTCACAAACTTCCTCCTTCCCTCCCCTCACAAACATCAATTTAACGGTAAGTCTCACTGTTTAACGTAAATTCATGGGTTTTTCCCCATATTCATGGCATAGTACATGGATATGGGTTTTCCCATGTTGTCTTGCAGTAAAAGTGGCCACCGGTCTTAGTTAGGACGGCCGGTTTCTTTTGCGCGGCGTAGTTAGGTCGCCGCCCTCCTCGCGAGGCCAGTAACGTAAGTAAGGGCCACTAAAAAAAAAAAAAAAATCAAAGCTGACCACGCAAACATTGGCAAACAGTTCGAGGGGTTCGGGTAAACGTCCTAAAAGCCCCTTGCTAAAAGCATTTAATTCTAGGCCCTACATGCTCTACCTACCTATCTGCCTATGAAATTTAATGTGATTGGCTAAAGAACCTGATGTTCCTGAGATGTTGAAGTGGCCTTTGACGAGCATTCATGCAAGTCAGATCCTGATCCAAGATTGAGATGCCAATTAAAATTAGATCAGATCGCAGTCATCAGACCCACCCATCTGACATTAAACAGTCCCCATGAAGGCTCCTACTTTCGATTTCTCACCAACTTTTGAGCCCAGTCAACCTGTTCTTGAGACGAACGAGCGTTCCCGGTAAAAGAATACATTAAGTCCGAGTGACTGTTAAAAGATAAAGTTTTCATATTCTTACATAATTTGACATCCTGAATCCAAAAATGATACTTATATGTCTTGGACATAAAAAAAGAAAAAAAAACATAATCAAACCTGACCTAACCTTACCTGTTTAGTACCTACAACCCCAACCTACAACCTACAAATAACAAACCTACAACCTAACAACCTAAAACCTACAAACCTACCAACCTAAAACCTACAAACCTACAACCAAACCTAACCTAACCTAACCTAAAACCTAAATTGTTTGCTGTTACATATTTGTATCAACAGCGTCACAATTGTCCACTCGGTCCTAATATATACTAATACCGCGTTCCCTGCATGTGTTTGTCTGTGGTAGTATTGAAACTGACATTGATCAATGGAGATGTATGTATATTGGCCACATTTTATGCTCAATTGTTGCTGTGAGCTGTTGTAGCTCAATGTGCTTAAGGTCTGAGATAGTCATAGCAGGCTTACACGTGGTATGTAGAACATGTTTGACACTCCTGATTTGGAGATTGAGATAGCACAGGCTGTCAAGTGTCACACAAATTCCCATATTTATTAAAAGTGTATTTGGCCCCAGCCCACTTACACAGCATTGCTGACCATGGGACTGTTCACTGTTCAGTTAGTAACCCCAATCATTTCATTTTCTGAAGGCTCTCGGGGTTTAGTTACATGGTTTACAACAGTGTGTCCTTGTGAGATGAGTTAGCATAGATTGCCATCCATGATCCAGGGCAAACACCTTTCAGTAACTTGAGACAATTTTCTTTTTTAGTTTTCATACCTGCTGCAAGCCACGCAGCACCTGACTCGTGGTGGTGACAACTGAGATTAACAGTGGATTAACAGTGGACTGTCTGCCGAGTGCCGGCACCGGGCGAGTGCGGGCCTCACCGCGCCCGGGAGCACTGGTGCTGCCATCTACCGCCGCCCCACCGCGCCCGGTAGGACCGGTGCTGCCATCTACTGCCGTACGGTACGGTCGGTAGTGGCCGGTGATGCACAGGGCCTTCTGTGACGCGTCCGGCGACCGGCAGCGGCTCCGCTGGGCACACGCCGTTAACTGCGAGAGCCACCTGCGGGCAGCGCTGGACGACCCAGCAGTGGACGCGCTGGAGGCCGACGTCTGTACACTGCCATCTAGCGACGGTGAACGCAAACCGTACATCGCTCATCCGCCGGCAGGTAGGCATCAAACGGGGTGGCCACTACTCCGGGCTTTTTATAATTAAACATGTGGTTTATCAAGCCATTTGCTGATTTTTCTTCTAGGAGTGAAAGGCTGAATGCACTCTACTAACCAATTATGTATGCATGTATGAATGACTTCTTTCTTAGATGTAGTAGAACAGTCATCCGCTGCTTTCAGCAATGACTACTTTGGCTCTTTTTATTTATTAATCGGTTCCCGCACTTCTTTTGCTTACTTTTTTTCAATTTTCCTAGCTGGGAGTGCCGCGACTTATCCTTTTTTATTTTTGTCTGGTGTTAACGTAAGGTGCTGTGAGTCGCTGGGCTGAGGGTGGGGGCACTCCTGGTCACCTAATAATGGGTGGCGGAGTAGTTCGAAAAAAAATCAATAAACTAGCTGCGAGAGACTCGCCCTTTTATCCCATTGATGTATACTCGCATCCTTCTCAGCACCTCAATCCCCCTGATCCGGCTCATTTGTATCCGCCGTGAGTCAGATACAAATGACCTCAGGGGTCGGGTCCTCAGCGGCAGGCCTATCGTGCGGTGAGATGACCTTAAGTGGGGCTGGGTGGCCTGTCCACGTGATGGGCTCAGCCCTGGCGACTCACCTGGATGTCTGCCCAGACCAATCGGCCTCGCTTAATTCCTATAATCCCTCCGGCTCTGAAATGGTGTCATTATACCGAGGGAACCAACCGATCAAAATAAACGAGCTGCTAACAGCTCGTGCTTAAACGGACATTATCTGGTCACGAATGAGGCTTATTGTCTGACTTATTGCCAAACGAATGTGGAATGGAGTGATCTTGAAACGAGCGCAATTGCGGGCTTTTGGTGCGTATATCCCTGTCGCTTGCCTACACACTCATTTAGTATGTGGAATTAATTCTAGTCCCCCCCCCCCCCCCATGTTCGCAGTGACGGCGGACATAACAGCTGAGCGTTTTATTGACATCGTGCGGCAGTCGCACACAAAGAAAATCGTCAAACTCGACCTCAAGTGTGATGACGTCATTGCCGAGGTCGTTGACCTCCTGCTGCTCTCGGGGATAGCGGTAAGTTGGTGACTGGAGCTGGTTTCTGATGACATGTGATCCTTTCGTTAGTAATAGTTCACCAGTATCTTCAAACTAAGGCTGATTCAGTACTTTATATCACCATCGATCGCTTTTTCAAATATTGGTTGAATTTGCACCGCAGTAATTAGTGCACCCTCCCTTTTGGACGGGAGTGAGCCGATGGGATGGGACAGGCTGGTCCGTGGTCACTGACGTAACTACGGTCATCCCGGAGGATATATACATTGCTAGACCAGCCTTTATAGTTTGCCTGTTGGGGTGCGTGTCAGGCAGGAACAGGGCTATCTGATCAATTAGAATGGGCCGCCTCTGAGGATAGCGAGGACAGATAGTTTATGGCCGCGTGGTGAGTCAAATCATACGGGTCTGTGTGTTTGTTTTGTTGGGTTAGGCCCTTTCGGTCTAACAAGACCATTGCAGAGCCGGAAGGATGATAGGAATTAAGGGGTGACATTGGTCTGGGCAGGCACCCTAGTGAGTCACCGGGGCTGAGCCCGTCCAGAGGACAGGCCGACCAGCCCCCCAAGCACTCTCTGCACCCGGCTATGGGGTGCGCTCCCTCGGAAGCAGCGGTGCTGCTCCAAGGGAGCAGCCCGCATGACATAAAGTTACCTGTCCAGCCCGGAGCGGGGGTTGCGGCGTGGAGGAGAAGGATTTCTGTATCCTGAGGATAGAAGCACTTGGTGTCTTGGTTTAGCTCTCTGGTGGCTTTATCTGCCGACGTTTATCGTTCGAACCGGTGTCAGTGTGAGTTAACCCTAGGCCCCTAACTCTCTCCTCTTCCCACAGGCTGTGACGCCACTGGTGCTGAACGCTGACGTCATCAGCACCTCTGGGAATCCAGCGCCGGTCTGCGCCGAGACCCTCCTCTCGCATCACGCCCGCTTCGACAACGTCACCATCCCTCCCGTCGTCTCCCTGGGCTGGTGTCCACCTAGCGGCGGCGACGCAACACTAAGTACACTCAACATATCACAGATGGCAGCACTGGCGCGGGGCCGGGCGGCGACGCTGGCCGTGCGGGCTGATGTGGCATTGAGGTCACAGCGGCAGCTGGAGGGGCTGCTGGGTGACCTGCCCGGGTGTGGGCTCACCCTGTGGGCCCACCCGGGTGACCCCGTCTGCCCCGAGACGCTGAGGAGATGGGTGGACAGTCTGGGAACGCGGCAGGTGTGGGTGGACGTGCCGCAGGAGATGTTTCCCGACTCGTGAGTGAACAGCCGTCACACATGTGACCCTCACTTAGTGCGTCACGGCCATTTTATTTGAAATGTGTTGCCAAACTGGAGAAGGATGCGGCATCTCCCAGGAAGTGTGGCTACACTGCATCCTTCTCTAATGGAGTAGAATGCGGCAGCGGTCAGAGACCAGGTGGCCATCCAGCTGCCGATACTCCTGCCGTCCCAGCGGGCCATCTTCGATCGGGTTCTGGCGGCCGTCGACGGGCGGCGTCCGCTGGCCGTGTTCGTGGACGCCGCTGGCGGCACCGGAAAGACGTACGTCTTCAACACGCTGCTGGCGGCGGTGCGCTCGCAGGGTCTGGTGGCGCTCGCCGTGGCCTTCAGTGGAATCGCTGCCACTCTGCTGGACGGCGGGCGCGCATACCACTCGCGTTTTAAGGCACCGCTGCAGGTGGACGCGACATCAACGTGCGCCATCAGCGCGCAGAGCCCGCTGGCGGAGCTCATCCGACGGACGGCGCTCATCATGTGGGACGAGCCGCCCATGGCCCATCGTCACCACCTGGAGGCGTTCGACCGCACGCTGCGTGACTTTACTGGCAGCGAGGAGCCGTTGGGCGGAAAAGTCCCCGTGCTGGGCGGGGACTTTCGATATATTTTTCCCAGTCATCAGGTGATTAACAGCAATATCAGCACGATTCTGTTCCCGAACTCCATGTCTACCTATATGTCGGTAGGTCGGAGTTTACACCCAGGTTTAGTGTTCGACGCACTTCACCGGTCGACTCAGCTTGGCTTTGCCAATGATGCCTTACAGTCTTTAACATGTAGACTGTTTGCTGGTCAGTGAGTTAAGTACGCCTTGTCAGTATTCTGTGGCGGTCGGCCTCTAACCCGAGTCGGCGGGCTCAATGCTGACACCACCGAGCGAGCGCTGCCCCGGAGAGGCCGTCCGCCTGCTGAGCGCCGACGCTCGACAGTCTGATGAGCAGAGGGGCCGACCCGCTGGATATTCAACATGAGTATCTAAACACCCCGTGCGCTCCCGGCTTCCCACCTCACTGTTTGATGATAAAGCCAGGCATGCTACTCATGCCGCTTTGCAATCTGTCCTTTCCTATGTGTTCCTGGCTTCCTGCCGCTCTCTGAACATCGAGCCCGGGCATTTGAACGCCCTGTGTGTAAGGAGTTTCGGGTTTCTCACCGCTCCGCCTTGAATATCAAAGTTCTAAGTGTGGTATCCCACTGGTTGTTCCTTCCGGTTACTTCTGCTCACTGCGTCGCGTCTAGGTAGTCACCAAATGAAAATTAAATCTGGTGGTAGTAGCAAAGACTATGCTATGTCGCGATATTTTGGCGCTATCTCCCCCGACTCGCTTCTGACCCTCTTTGCCATCCTTGTCAACTTTTGTCATCCTTTTGTCATCTTTTATTTCCTTTTCGTACAAGCTTGATTAGTGTGCGCTCGTTATTCCCTTTCCCAATCGCGTCGAGGTGTGGTGACAGCTGTGCGTTTTTCTTTCGTTCCACTGATGTTTCTACTCGGCAATATGTTGTTATTGTTGTAACGTGTGTCGTGTGTTAATACAATTAGTACCTGTATATCGTCTCTGCATGGCGGAAGCAGCCGGTCGGTGGTCCTAAGTCATGGTGACGATGGTTGTCACTGATAACCGTTTGAGGTGCGATTTTAACAATCGACTTTTTGTGCGTCGTATCTAAACCTTACGTCTTGACTGTTGAGTGAGAGAGATTTTGTAAATCACACTGGGCCGGCGAAAAGATTATCGAGGAGAAAGTTCGTCGAATTTTCCGCACGAACATGAAGTCGAGGAAGACCAAACTAATGTCGATAGTCCACTAGACGACTGGCAACTGCAGAGGTGCAAATCTCCGACCCGACGAGCTGTTGACTGTAGAGTGTGGGTGCACTGAGCACTGAGCAGTTGAGCGCCTTCCCGTGTCCTGCGGGAGTCTGTGTGGACGGTATAACCCTGCCTGGGCGAGCCTTGCGCTGTCGCCATCTACACTGGATACCATGCTTGTCTGGCTGTGAGCGCTACCAGCTCTGTCTGCGATAGTGCTGTCATCTCTGCGGCGAGATGCAAACTCTGGGGCAATGTTGAGCCACTGCTTGCTCCAATGCCTTCCGATTATGGTCTTTGGGTGATGAGTCAGCTCTACAGATCACAACTCCACGAAAACACTTCTCCATGGTTATGTTTTATGAAGCAAATGGACAATGATTACATGAGCAATCGTACAGCGCAATGCGTTCAGTATAAAACGCACACATTCCGGCATAGACCTACCTCCATTACGGGAGTTGCACAAAACACATCACGGAGTTGACCCGATGTCACAAATAAACAAACATTCTGGAATTGCGTCACAAGTATCACACAAACACACGCGGAATGCACAGCTGAACAAACAGCGTCCCCCGATGCGGGATCATAGGCAAGCTCAGGTGATTCACTTTTACACGTCGCAAGTTCTCAAACTTCCTACAAGTCACAAACCAACAGCCTGTGGAAATGACGAGCATGCGCACTAGGAGTCACAGTTTTAACACTTGTATGCGTCTCGAAATGGAACAACTGTCCACTTCGCACGCAATCAAAGTCGGCACATCCGAAAGCTGAGGTCACATCTCATGACTTGCTGGCAGCATTTTACAGTTCAGACTATCGCCTCTCTCAACGCTCAAGTATTGCTAGCCGACTCCGCTGCCGAATACCACAGACTATGTCTCACTGGAACGTGGAAATTCAGCGGCGGTAACTCTGCGAGCGGACGCGCACAGGACGGTTTGAGCAGAGACGACATTTCAGAGCCGCCCCTCAGTCAGCGATATGCTCCTATGACGTCATCAGATGTGTCACATATCACTGAAACTCACGGTACCGTCATAGCGACATGACGTCATTACGACATGACGTCATTACATGAGAATCGGGCAGAGCGAACTTTACACCACGACTGAGTGAGCACTTTATGCATGGGTCCGTGTCTCCCTCTCACTCCCTCTCACTTCTACAGTATTTACAGCTAACCTCATCTCACCAAGCTCACATACTGCCTCGCATCTTGCACATTGACCATTGCACGTTGCGGGGCCACGCCCCCGGGCAGGCCGGAGCCCCTCCCCTCCCGCAGCTCGGCCCCCTCCCCTCATGAGACACCGTTGGATATTGTCGTGTGGCCGAGTTTGTCGAGCTGCTCGTCGCTGCAGGCCGTCTCGTATGAGGGGGGCTCCTCGGCGATCACAGAGAGGTAGGCGGGCGGCGGGTCGTACGTCCTGCGGCAGAACAGGACGGGGAGGGGTTAGATATCTATACCTATCGACAGAAGTCTACACAGAGAGTTTATTTGGCAGTGCTTTTTTCAATAGTTTATAGATATGGGCAATTAAAATATGATAATTTTGCAACGTGTCTTATGCTTAGGAACAAACATAAAAAACGTGCTATGTATCACACAAGGTTGGGTATGGATAAAAAAAGAGGTAGGTAGTAGGTATACTGCCATGAGTCACTTAGTGCAGTACCTGTCCTGTCATCACCTAAGAACATGGTCAAGTACCCTCCTTCTGATATGTGAATACCGATAATCACACTGACGCCAACCTAACATACACCTTTGACACTTCACCACGCCTACCTGTGCAAGTGATGTCGTCCGGGCAGCGGTGCGCGCAGGGCCACCACCGGGGGAGCCGGAGGGGGAGCTCGGCACGGGCGGGCCGCCTCCTCAACTTCCTCACTGGAACAGAGAGAGAGAGAGAGAGAGGGGGGAGAGGGTTAGAAATAGAGTACGGGGAGCTCGGCACGGGCGGGCCGCCTCCTCAACTTCCTCACTGAAAGAGAGAGGGGGAGAGGGTTAGAAACAGAGCACGGGGAGCTCAGCACTCAACTTCCTCACTGGAATAGAGAGAGGGGGAGAGGGTTAGAAACAGAGCACGGGGAGCTCGGCACGGGCGGGCCTCCTCCTCTACTTCCTCACTGTTGGAGAGAGGGAGAGAGAGGTCACAAATGGAGGACGCGGGTAAACTATCGCTTCGTCACTGTAGGCATAGCTGGTATACGCAAGGGGAGAGGAGGAAAGGGTCAGAAATGTAGCACGGTGTGAGTTATTATCCCCTGTGGATGGTATCTGCATATGTGATATGTATGTGAAATGGCGCAAGGTCACTGACCTTGTCAAATGCCACGTAACCATTCCCAGTGTCAGGAGCGATATGACGCAACGGTTAGGTGTGGGGACGAATCAAACATCTATGTTTTAGGTCAGGTCACGGTTGCCAGATGTCGAGCCCCGTGGGTCAGAGGTCAAGCGACTGGATATCGGTGACCAGAGGCTAGATGTCGGCAAGAGGTTAGACTGCAGAGGTCAGGTCAAAGGTCAAATGACTGAACTCAGGTCAGGGTCAGGCCTGAGGCCAGATGACGGTCAGGTCAAAGGTTGGATAATGGTCAGGTCAGAGGTCAGATGATGGGGTCAGGTCAGAGGTCAAATAACAGGGGTCAGATAATAGGTCAAATGGCGGAGGTCAGTGGGCAGGTGCCTATGATCAGTGTGCGGATGGGTGGTATTCCCATAGGTCCTACACTGGAGCAGCGCTGAGTAACAGCTACCCACCAGTCGGTACGTTCTAATTTACCAACGGAATGCTGGGGAGGTGCAGTGTGCTGAGCGATGACTGCACTACTCCATGAACATTGAACACACATGTGAGTGGCAGGTCATTCCGTACACTCTGTCATGCATAAAGAAGTGATGTAATATCAGCGAACAAAGTAAATGGATGTTTGGTAGTGCGATGAGTGCACGTGATCCAAACCATCCAAACCGCAGTTGCAGTGGGTGAAAAGGAGCGGTAAGGAGCGGTACGCAAGCCGAATTTGGGGACAATCTCAGCGTCAAACGGCACAACATACGCGAAAACGGAACTGGAACGGGTAGGGGAGGGGTCCTACGGCTGGGGAAATAGGAAAAAGACTCGGTCAGGAGAGGGGCGATATTAGTCGAGTTCAGCTAGTCTGTCCCCCACCCGCCGTTAACCCAACAGCAACAATATAGCATTTCTTCAACTCATGTCATACACAAGCGCAGTGCAATAATTTATAACTTGGCACGGCAATGCATCGCTTTCCTTGCCGTCAGTTTTCTTTATACGAAAGCCTTCGTGGGGCATTGTATTCGACGAAGCCATAGGCACAACTGAGCAGTGCTGACGAAGGACGAGGGTTGCTTCATGGTTAACCCTATTAGTGGCAGGCTCCTGGCTACCCCCTATTAGTGGCAGGGGGGGGGCTGTTTACGACCCCCCCTTGATATCTCGAGATCTAACGGGCCGATTTTCAAAATTCAAACGGCATTCGATTTCGCTCAACGTGATCTACATTTCTAAAAAATAAAAAATAAAAAATATCAATAGGGGGGGGTAGAGGGGGGTAAAAACGGGCAAATCGCAGATACATTTTAGACTGTTTATCACGGCCAGGTTTCTGAACCAATCTTAACGCAACTTTTGCCGATCGATAGAGCATGAACCAGGAATTCACATGGATCCTAAAAGTACCTATGCATTTTCAAAAATCATAGGCGGATACATATCATTGAGATTGGGGGTACACAAAAAGTATAGTAAATAAGGTTTTTGTTGGTACTGTTTCTAAAAAGGGTGGTAATGGTCTTGTTATGTTACATTTTTCTTATGAGAGAACGACTACAATTGTATTGGTAATGCATAGGCGGTGTCAGGGCACCTATGTTGGGAGGTAAAACATAACCCCCCTTTTTGGACGCCTGGATCCGCCTATTATAGCAAAAACGTGTCAAAAGAGGATGCACAATAACTGTATATGTTATCACATGATACCTTTTATTCACTGTTCGTAAAACTGGTGCAGCATCGTGATCTTCGCCCAAATGACTCGCTTCACGAATAGGACCCCCCAATTCCCAGTGCTCTGGAGCCGCCCCTGGTAAAGTTATGAACTTGAAATTTTCAGGGAATGTGCTCAATTTAGTTTTAGGAAAAGTCAGAAAATTTCAGCATCGTAGCTTCAGCGGTTTCGGAGATATTCCCGAAAAACCTGAGGGGTGGATAAAAACAACCCCCCCCCCCCTGCCACTAATAGGGTTAAGCAGGTACATATCAATTACGTTCGTACAGTATTTCAAACGGCACCGATTCACGACAGGAATTCGATGTTATTGGTAAGTCAGACTTCAGAGGTCAAAAGAGTTTCATCGAATGGCGCTGTGCCTAAACAGAAACATAATGTTTGACGAGTTGCCAGCATTATGTCGAAGTTATCGTGATTGATCGACAGCTAATTTGGGTTTCATCAGAAGCCGGAAACTATGTATGAATGACACAAACACTCCGAGCGTCACAGCGTTGCATGTCCCGTAAGCCGTGAGCATTGTTCCGCGGAGTTCGTGATGTCAGCGTTGATCTAATAAGAACCGCGCGTAACACAGCCGTGACGCGATGATACCACGTCAGTGTATGATAATAGGCCGCCGGGAAGCCTGGAACTTCCACGAGACACTGCCCTGCGCAGTTGGCGGGGTATATCGTGCCGATAAAC